GCCAAATCTCTATCTCTACTACTTAAAAGTTACGCAAAATTCCTATCCTCGCTTCTCCCGTTCCGCTTGCCGGGCCTAAATGCCATCTCAGCTAGGCTCCCAGACCCACTCCCACCCAACTGATTTATCCACGACTCCGCTACACATCCACCTGTGCTCCACACCCATGCCTCCGCTCCAAATACCGCCGACACCCGTGGCACCAAGCGCCGCCCGCCTGTGTTCCATACCCCACGCCTCTGCTCCACAGCCCAACGCCGCCCTTCGCTCCGATTTCCTCTTTACTACATCCGACCAATCTGCTTGTGCGCCATCCTCTTCTCTACCTCATCCTCCGCATCGATACACACACAAGTTGCTGTGTTCCCCATTGTCGTACAGAGGCATCCTGTACGTCATCCGGCGCTATCTCACCCATGCCATCCTCGCCGCCATCAAAGAGGATGCCATCACTCCTGTCAGCTATAACTGTAACCTTTTGGAGAGACAATGAGATGATGATGATGATCTGAAGATCGATTAATCGGTAAATTCTGGCATGCCATTTTGTTTGCAAGCAAAGGAATCTGTTAAATGAAAGAAATGATGTATTGTACTATACTCAGGTTCATTTAATCAATTGCTTTAGCTTGTGGGATGACTTTCCGTGAGTAAAATTGATTCAGAAGAACCTACTTTTCCTGACTCTAGGAAAACCTTCTTCAGAATCTGATAAGTTAGCCAACATGAGTTTTGTGTAATTTGCAAGGAAAAGGAATGGCTACTTAAGTTACAGAATAATTTGCAACGAAAAGGAATGGCTGGTTTATTTGTCATGATTCCAACATGAGTTTTAAATAATTTCGTGTACCTGGACAATAGCTCAGTAGCATGTAATGGTAATGTCACAGACATGTGCAGGGTTAATTTGGATTTCTAGAAGGACAAGTGTACTCATATCTCGTTTATTTAGTTTGTTCAAGCAAATTTAACCTTATCTGAAGTGTATATGCACTATGTTCGAAATGCATATCTACAATTAACTCTTTATTTTCCAGTTTTTGCTGCTACATTTTGGTGTCAGAGAACTAAATAAGTTGTCAGCTGTGGAGTCAGCAAAAAAAGCATGGTACTGGGAAGCGGTAACAAATAAAATTGCATCAGCTAATGTCTTTGGAACTACAAACAGATTGTTCATCGGCACGAAATTAAGCGCCTTATGTCTTATATAAGACATGATTGTTCATTGGCGGCAAATTAAATGCCTTCTGTCGTAACCAGTTGCTCTTGATAAGAAGAAACAAAAGCGCTCAAAACGAGACAAGACAAAAAACAACACTCAGAGCAGAGTGGGATATAGACTAGGAAAATTGCGTATAAGAAGGTCCTGAAACCATAATTAAGGTACTGGATGCTTATATACAAACTGTTGGTGCCTAATAATTTTTGTATTACCCGTAATGCTGTCATGAATCTAAAAAATATTTCTATTCACACAGGAAATTGCATCGTGCTGCTATTGGGCTCAGTGTTGTAATTATCTATTCGAATCTGTTCTGTGGTCGATACAATGGTCCATGTGTATTTTTTCTTTTAAAAAAAAATATATATATAAATGATCAATGCAGGTGCATCTATGGATATCAAAGATGGCGTTGTTCATAGCAACGAGCCCGTAGCATGTAGCAATGCGCAGGCATTTAACTAGTAAGCACATGAGGATTTTTTCTACTCTGCAGCTATTTACTTCCAGAAAATGAAATTTGAGGTACTGAACTCCCATTAACTAATCAAACAAGTGCATGGCTGCAGGCATACAGTGAAAGAACAACACCTGAGTTTAAAATGATCAATATAGGTGAATAGCAATTTGTAATATATGCATAGTCACTCTTGGTACTTATTTTTCAAATGCTTCATTGCATAGAGCATCGCCCAACCTACCACCAAATCACAAAACAAAAATCAGAGTGCAACCCAATCATCAGCATCAACTGTACGAGCCACACCATAATCTAATCCTGCACACTGAAATCCTTAAAATTATCCGGTGTCTTATTAGGCTGTCAAATCCCTATTGGCTACCCACTAACAAAAAATCCACTACAGTTTTGACCTGACCCGCATGGCTGTGGCAACCCAAAATTACATAGCATCTGGCTGAAATCAAGGCTTGCTAGTCCTTGATAGACCTAAGCTAACCATAGAAATATAACCAAATCTAGGGTTCGTAATGATCGCGGGCGGCAGGCCAATCCCCCACGGATGCATCAACCAGATCCACGCTTCATACCACTAATCTACTGACGGAGCAGCCGAAACAAATAAACACCGTGCACGGACGGCACAGACGCGGATACGGAATCGGGCAAGTACGCGCTCCAGGGAGGGGATCGAGGGTAGTACCTTGCCGCCGAAAAGGAAGATCCCGGCGAGGCCCGCGGTGGCGACGCCGCCCCAGATGACGACCGTCGACGAGAGCAGCGACCAGTTGCGGTAGATCATCTTCGTCCTCCTCGGGTTCCTCTCTCTCCCGTCCCTCGGGACTCGCTAGTTGCTGCGGCGCGTGCGTGGAGGTGCGGCGGCCCTCCTAGATGGAGCTGGACGGATGGACGGAGAAGAGAGACAGGTGAACCAAGGAAAAGGGCCCTTTCTTTTAGAAACAGGAAAAGGGTCTTTTTTTTAGAAAAAAAAGGGGCCCTTGTGGCCCTGTAGTTGTAGTGGGCGGCTGCTGCTAGGCCATATGGTATGGCCCAAAGTTATGTATGGGCCTAAATGGGTGCACCCTTGTTTGCTTCGCCAAGCCTAGCGTCCGGTCATCCGGTCCTGGCTTGTATCCGGATGCGGCTCTCGTTCGACGCAACCTCCACGCCCCCTCACGTAGGCTACACCAACAAAACATGAGAGCGCCCGCCCGCTGCGCCCACATCACCATGCGCCTATGCCCTTGCTCCCAAACCGCGACGTACGCAGCCCCATCTGCCCAGCGCTCATCTCGCTTTGGACGTAGCGTCCGTCCGTACGGAGCTCCCTCGCTTGCGCTCAACGCACGCAGCTCCCTCATCCCATGCCCATCACACATCCCTCATTCATGGATGTCGTGCCGGCTCTAGGAGAGACGATGCAACAGAATGTGCGACGAGGAGAGATGCAACACTAGGTCTACTTTTGAAACATCCAAATACAACAGTTGCAACATATGTCTAAAGGTAGTTGAAACACTTGAAACATGCTTATGAAACACTTGAAAAACACACCCTAAAACGCACTTGAAAACTATTGCAACCTACAAGGAACATCTGAATAAAACAAATGCAATATATGTGTGAAACACATGCAACATCCAAATAAACATAACATGCGTGAAAACACAGATGAAACATACATCTGAAACATCTGAAACACTCAAAACATACTATTGCAACATGCCTCCGAAAATAATTGCAACATATGCAACATCTCCGATCTACTCTTGCAACATCCATATGATTCAACTGCAACATACCTCTGAAACGTCTGAAACAATTGAAACATACAATTGCACCATAGGGGGGAGAGAGAACCTAGCGTAGGGAGTGCCATGGCCGCCAAACCTGCGGGCATTGGGGGCTCCCGATGCCAGAGCAGGGCCGTCACCGGGGGCGTGCCCGTCCTCACACCGGAGTTGAGGCTGGGGGTGGCCGGCCGAAGAAGAGGAAGGGGGTTGCCGAGGGTGGCCGCGTGGATCAGAGCCCATGCTCGCGCCGGGGCCGCCGCCGCGCCGGAGCCAGAGGAGGGAGAGGGATGCAGCGGGGCTCACGCCTCGTGCGACGTGCGTGGGGCGGGACGGGGGCACGGCTCGGCAGAGGAGCGTTGCGGCATGGCTGCGGTGGGTACGGAGATGCCGCGGTGGGGGAAGGGGCGCTGGAGGAATGAGCGGGTGCAGAAATGAGCGGACGGAGACGTCTGGGATGTATCATTATCGTATTTGCTTGGGCTTGCACATGGCAGTAAGTGCGCCGCTGGCTGCGCACGAAAGGGAAAAGGATAGGATTTCGTGTAGCTGGGCTGCCATGGAAGGCTGCTAGCTGTTGGGCCTTATGGTTATGCGTGTTGGGCTTGTCCTAAATTTGTTTTTTTTAATATCAAACATGGGACTTTTTCGTCTAAATATGGGCTCCCTAAAGATAGATGGGATGGATCCTCTTCCGTTTTTGAAAGCAAATCCTAAGTGGGATGGACCCTCTTCCATTTTTGAAAGTAAATCCTCTGCAGTACTGCAGAGGGACCATGGCCCATTGCCAGCCACTGCAGTCCCCTTGCACTACTGCAAAGAGGACTCATCTCCTGTTTTTGTCCCGGTCCTGGCCACCCTCATCTTGGCTCCCGTCCTATTTTTTTGGAATTACAGAAATAATGGGCGGGTGAAATATGGAAACAGGTTGTGTTCCGCTTTCTAACTCTATTTACAAGCACCAAGCCTAGGGATGATGTATGCCTGCATTAGGTGGAATCATGTCATGGTTGTTAAAATCTCGATTCTGCTATCTGAGTTTACTTCTCGACATGAACAAAGTTAGAGAGTTTAATTCTACTATGCTAGTTGACAAAATCTATGTTTATATTACTATTATTATGTCTAAGATTAGTGATTCTAATTTATATAAAGATCTCCGATTTGACTTATAATCTAACCTTGAGTAGAACCAAACTAGCTATGAATTGTTCATTCTAATGTGCATTCAAAGACATCGCATTGAGAAGTAGGGTAGATATCAATAGCATAATAGGAATGCTGGGTTGATGAATAATAATCCATGGCAAAAGATTAGTAAGGAGACGGCGTTCAATAAGCCCAAAAATATTGTTTTATCAGAACCCTGTGGAGGAAAAATGAGAGACATCAAAGGTTTGTTACATGGTGGTTGAGTTTCTCTCCCAACCTATACATGTATGCCAACTCTAGAGAATTCAAGTGGTCCCTTGCTCACACCACTGATCATCAGGCATCAGCCAATTGACATGCATGCATGGACAGTTGATCAGCTTTGTGTTGGCTTCTTCTCGTCCTCCTCCTCCTCCTCAGCGTCCTTCTTCACCTCCGTCGTGGGCTTAGCCGTCACCTCACCGGTGGCGAGCTTTTCCTCTGCAGGGGCTGATGGCTTCTCCTCCTCGACGACGGTCTTCACCTCGGCCTCTTCTTCCTCCTCCTCCTTGTTCTCGGGCTCGGCGACGACCGCCTCCTCCAGAGTGCTCACCTCATCAGCCTGCTGCTCGGGCTCGGCGGTGGATGGCGGCTTTTGTTCCGCCACCGTTGCGGCTCCTCCTCCTTGTCCTCCTCCACCACCTTCTCAACTACCTGTTCAGCGCAACCTGTGCATGGATGGCACACATTATTCAGATTTAATCCACATCAAGAGAAAACAAAATGTATATATAACTAGTTCATGCATGATCGAATGTGTTGTCATCACATCACCTCAGTGGGGACAGTAGTGGTCTCAGGTGCAACCTTGGGTGTGGAGATGTTGGCCTCAGCTGGGGCCTGCCCTCAAGCGTCTTGGGCTTGGTTGCGCAGGCACCCATGGTTTGCTGTGGCGGTAGCGGCGGCTGGGTTATTGGCCGGTGGAGGAGGCGATCGAGGAGGTGTTTGAATGTGTGGAGGTGGCTTGGCAATGGGGAGATGATCTGCATTTATAAGAGGATATGTAGAGTGGTTAAATTTAGACAAAGATGTTAGCAATGGTTTGGAGGGTTACAGGAACCAACCATGCAGATCTGGCAAATAATGCATGCATGGACAACCTAGTTCCATATATAGAACACCAAAGATATATGCGGTTCCCTGTCTTTCCATTTGTTGATGTGAAGAAGAATACGGAGAGCGACATATACACGTATCCAAAAAATCATATCCATAGCGGGTGTCACAGCATCCTTTAGAGATAGTATAATAAGCCATGTCAGCTTGGCTAATAGTCAAGACAACTTGGCAAAGTCTTAGGTGCAGGAGAAAGAATGGGATGGTCGATGCATGAGGCAGGTCTGCGGATGACAATCGAGGGAAAGAGAGAGTATACAAATGAGTTATTTTCATAATTTGTGAAGAGCCTTGCTTATTGTATGAATTGTCTATAAGAATAGTTAGCTATTAGACAAGTTTATTGGGCTTGCTCTTATCTGTTGCGTCTATTTCGCATTAAGATCCATGCGCGAGTTGCTTCAACTATTTTTTTGGTTGTTGACTGCCTAGCATACCTCACAGCTCCATAGGGCCTCGTCTTCTCCTGCTGCCTGTGGCAGAATAATTGTGGGACCCACTCTCATGGGCAATAGGTGCTCATGCTATCGAAGTTTCATTGCTAATCATTGGAGGAGAGGGTCTCATTCAGAGGCGGAGCTATATTCAACTTAGAGGGTGGCTGCACCCACAAAAAAATAGAAAAAAAGTAATAAAATATAAATTTTCACCATATATGCACCCACGTTGCAAATCATTGCACCCACAAAGACAAATGCACCCTCCTTGAATTTGCTCTAACTCCGCCACTGCTCTCATTGCCACAAGAAGGATCAATAGACAGCAGCAATGACCACATGTGAATTATACATGCATTACTGCCTGTTACCATTTACTTAGGCCATTTAATCAATGCTAATTTACAAACATGTTTTTACTCCTGTCATATAGTACGAATGCTACTAGGAGGCGAAGAGGAAAGGGAAAGGGGAAAGAGCTGAGGGCCATGAGATGACAACAATGACCCATTTTAAATCATGTATGTATTGTTGCCCATTACCATTGAATTTGCTTATATAATCATCGCTAATTTTACTAACATGGTTTTTTTTATTTTTTTTAGAGCACCTCTAGTGGATCATGAAATCGAACCATGGGAGTGAAAAAACGAACCATGCACATTGTAGCCATCGAACAGTATGTGTCAGACTTAGAATCGCATAGCTACTGCAGCATGAGGATGTGCTCAACAGCATCCCAACCAAGCTAAACCAGACATGTAGAGAGAGAAACGACTTTTTAATCTTATTATTGGTTCTTCTAATGGAAAGCAAGACATTCTATTCCTGAAAGCATGGCATGTCTATTCCTCTAATTCTGTTTCCCCATTCCCATGAATTATTGGGTCCTCATATTTATCGAGACAGGACTATTTTTAGCAACTCCTTTTGTTGTTTTATTAATTGGATTGCCAACAAATGATAAAGCTACAAAGAAAGATTTTTTTTTTAGATTGCATAAATTTAGAACATATTATGGGCATATCTTTTTTTTTCTTATATGTACCCTGATTGTTGGGTTTTGGGCATTGGTCCAATTATTATTTTATTTGCCTTGTGCAATATATCAGTTTGCTAGGTAGATTTTTCTAAAGAAAACCTGTACTGATATTTTGGTGTATGCTGATTTCCGAGGGTTATCCATTTTTAGTTTGTATATTTGGTATCCTGGATTTATCGATGCAATCTGTTTACTATATTTCTTTGGCCTTGTATGTAATTCTGGACATGCATGTATGTCATGTATTTTGAGATAAGGTTTCTTTGGCACTTCACCATGCACCTCTGCCATCTGTGCCTCTCCCCTTCCTAAGTATTTCTTTTAGCGTTAAGTGTTTCCTGGCTGCAATATTATTGGGCAGTCCTGTTTCCTGGCTGCCATGCATAGTGTTTGTCCGCTTTCTTGTCCTCTACATCAAAGAATGTGTCTGGTTTGAAAGCAAACATTTGGAAAACTGTTATAATCTTTTTTTTAATCTGGAAATCTTGTCTGAAAATTGTTCAGGTTTGGTGTTAGAGATAATTTCTCTGTTGGCATAACTATATCTTGTTTCTTTTCTGGATAGTTCCGATGAAAATTTCTATGCTTAATTAGTAACGAAAACATAATATCCTTTTACAAACCAGAAACTGGGTACAGATTTGCATTAATTTTAGTAGTTTCAAAAAAATAGTTTCAGGGTTGCAACATGAGAAGCTACAGAGTTTCTGAGTTTCACAGTACTTTAGCAACATGAGTAGCTCACTAGCTCCCTAATGTAAAAGAATTACCAGCTAATCACTGCATTTTCAATCATTTTACCTTTTAATATATTTGCTGGCATGACATAAAAGGGTTTGTCCAGTGGCTGGCCAAGGCTAAGCATCTGAAATTTCTGAACTTGAATCTTCATTGGATTGTTAGATGTATTATGAACCAGTGTGCTAATATAATGTGTGTTTCGTTCTGTTCTGCTGTTGTAAAAGGCGAATGCCAAGAAGGTTATTTTAAGTGGGAAGAACAACTGCACTGAAGTCATTTAAATTATGTGTGCTCAGGTCTAATATGAAGCAAACCTTCTCACTTTTCAATTTATTTTTCTGTTCCCCTACCTGTTTGCCGAGGAGGCAGGGAATGAAAGAAAAAAAAAAAATTAGGAGGGCTGAACAAAATAATAGAGATTTTTTTATCTTCTCTTAACCTTAGCCCTCCTACCTAATACATATATGCATAAAATTTTAAAGGAGAGCTTAGGGGCTCCACATGCCCAGGATCGATAGGGGGCTAGAGCCCCCCCCAGCCCCACCGCTGGCTCCATCGCTGCCTCATAGAACCATCTAGCATTGATATGTAGTCTGCTACTGTAATAAATATCCAATCCCGAATAGCAAGCCTCAACCTGCTAACTGTTTAGTACAGAGCCTATTGCTAATTGCAGAAAACATAACCTGGAAGCAATGAACTGTAGCAATTGAAAAATAGCACAAGAACATACTGCTACTCGGTGAAAGCTCTAAACCAGAAAATCATTACTCGGAGCTGGAAAAAGTACACAGCCTACTAGAAGGAAATGCATAGGATGCGACCAATCTTCTTTTTACCACTTCTTCCTTGCAACAGCACTTTCAGGTTTGCTCCCTATGAGCAATTCCTGGTTAACTTGCACTGGGAACCACCACATAATTTCAGACACAATGCTTATTTTCTGATAGATCGAGTGTTTCAAATTCAAACTGGTTTCAAACTTCCTTTCTTTCTACCAAGTTGGTTGTGATTTTCAAAAGCCAACTTGGTTTCAAAAGGAAGGAAGAAAATCACAACAAACTACTGACGAAGCTCTTATAATTGTGACTTCGGTTTCTTTATTCTGTGTGGTTAGGTTTTTATTGATACGTGTCCTCTCTCTCTTGTAGGTGCTCAATAGCAGATTGCTGAAGGCTAAGATAGGAACACTGAAGACTAAGATAGGAACACTAAACGGGACATAAGGAAAGAGCTCAAAACCCTTGCAAAAGTGGAGAGAAAATAACAGCAGCTTGCAGTCACTGATGTACTGAAAAAACGCAGATGTTGTGCTGACAAGTGACAACAGACTGGTGCGCCTTCGAAAAAGCTAAACAGAATTACATTTGATTCAATGAAGGTGCTCAGGCACTTGAGCTGGCATGCCGGATAGCCTTGTTGAAAGTAAGTATAAGATTGCACAATTCAAAGTTTGTGATGAGCTAAGGGTGTAATTTGAATCTGTTGACAGCATCACAAATATTGGCCATTGGGTAAATTATGACATCTATGAAGTTATTTATAACATAAATTCACTTAAAGGCATCCTTCTACTGGTAATTGTTTCGATGTGAGCCCGTGGTAGGTAATGCCATTAGTTAAGTGATTGCCTTTGTGTTTAGTATGAGTTAGATGCGCAATACTGTAGTTGTAAATGTAAGAGTTTGTTTCTATGATGTGAAGCTTGTAAATATGCGAACACAAGGTTGGTATATGCCCTTGTGGTTCGGTTGTGATGAGTGATTGTCAATGTGACTTGTGTCTTGGGTTGAGTCAGTGAACTAACCATGGCGCGAGTTGGGGGTTGTGCAACATGTCTCTTGGCTTTGTGGTGCGCAGGTGTGAAGCTCGGAGGCGGTGGTCGACGGCGAGGTGAAGGTCAAGTAGAGACGTGCCGTGCCGATGGACTAGGAGCAGTGAAGGACGGATGTGAGCCTTAGACCGAGGGACCAGGAGGCCAAGTGACCAGCCGCGGTGGCTGAAACTTGGGGACATCGACAAGCGCAAGAGTACATGAGTGATGAAGACGACGTCGACCAAGTCAAGGAGGAGGACGATGGCGTCGTGGCACTTGACGGAGTCCGGACATGCATTTACATGGGAGATGTAGATGGCGTCGGTCAAGTCAAGAAGGAGACGAAGGTGTCAAACTTGGCGGAGGTCGGACACACGTCGACGTCAAAGGGGTTTGGTGGTTTCGTCTTGAAAACCATCGGAGAGGTTTGGTGGTTTCGTCCTCAAAACCATCGGAGGATGGTTTTTTTTTGTTTGGGCTCAAGAACAGGCGTGGACAATTTGGTGGTTTTGGACTCAAAGCCATCGGTGGCGTGTTTGACCGGTTTGGACCTCAAAACCGGGGAGTGGCAGATCAGCGGACACGTGGTGGTATCTCGAAGCTTGCGTTGAGGCGAATCGAAGTAAAGAAGGCGCCGGGTCTGTTGGATCGACCAAGAAAAACTTGGACATATTTACCCCTAGCGGGTATTTAGGATGAGTTCTTCATGTGAGGACGTTTTTGTTTTTT